GCACGCTTGGCGGAGGGCACGCCTGACGCGGACGCACGCTTGGCGGAGGGCACGCCTGACGAGGCTGCACGCTTGGCGGAGGGAACGCCTGATGAGGACGCACGCTTGGCGGAAAGAACATCTGAAGAGGTTAAATGCTTGGTGGAAAGAACACCTGAGAAGGCTGCACCCTTGGTGGAAGGATCATCTGAGAAAATTCGGTATTTGAGGAATGAGACATCTGGAAAGATTGAACAGTCAGCAGAGGAAACACCTAGGGAAATTATGAAGCCTGTAAAAGAAACATCTGAGAAATTTGCATGGACAGCACAAGGAAGACCTAGGAAGATCGCATGGCCAGAAAAAATAAAGTCTAAAAAGACTAAACACCTGGAAAGAGTAACATCTTATAAAACTGAAGTTGTGAAAACAGGAATATCTAAGATGAGCGAATGTTCCACAGAAGAAAAACCTTCAAAATCACGTACAAATGGTAAGATGCTTGAGTGAACTTTGTAGGGTTTATTGGCACTTCAGGTTCCCTAGTGGAAATAGTGTGATATAGGAGTGGTTGGGAATGACTTGAATATCTAGATAAGCAAGCTTAGGCAACACTTATTAATAGTATAGAAATGAGTAGATCTTATTCTGTAGGACCTGGAAAAATTCTCAGAATACTTCTAGCTCTAAATACTAGATGAAGTAACTAACAATGGCTGAAACCATAGGAACCAAATTTGTTTTGGTGGTACAGGAATATGTTAGTATCCCAATCCCCTCCCCACTGCCCTATTTGTTCTCCTTTCATGGCTGGCTAATTAGCAACAGCTACAATCAACATGCTTTCTCAAGACAGTATCCGATGGCTGAATGTGCTGCTTTTGTTCACATGCTTCTTTTAAATAGGAAGAAAACTTGGAATCTTGTGGTAATCCTGTAACATTTCATTGCCTGGATTATACCACATGCTGGTTTGTAAACCAGTCACTAGGAAAGCGTATGTAATTACTGTGATTAGCTTACAATAATGATTTCTCTTTTTGGAGATGGGATGGGGCAATGGAATAATAAATATCTTAAGTAAACTTATGTTCCTGCAGCCAGAAAGAATATATAGTGGCTGTGCATAGAAATCCAGAAACGTTTTCTGCAGGCATTCATTGGAAAAGTTTGAGCAGGGGGGTCACAAGATTAGATTTGAGTATCAGGGCATTCTAGTCGTGGTATAAAGCAGAAATTGGCAAACTTTTCCAGTAAAGGGCCATTTAGGAAATATGTTAGACCATGAGGTCTCTATCACAGCTGTTCAACTCTGCCATTGTAAGGTGAAAGCAGTCATAGATAATGTGTGAACAAATAGGCATGATTATACTCCAATAAAACTTTGTAAGTAAAACCATTTGGTAAGCTGGATTTAGTCTGTGGCCTATAGTTTGCTGGCCCTTCATGTAGAAGACAGTTGGAGGGTAATCACATAATAAGATTTAAAGGCAAAGGAAGCTTTTGTAGTAGTTCATGCTATAGTCTTTTTTGTCACCAGTCTGTGACCTAGTATCAATCTATTATGAAAGTTTGACCCATCAGGGAAAAATGAATCAAGTTCAGAAGCTCAATTGATATATTTAAGCATGTAGGTCTTTCTACGCCATTATTTTATTTTGATTTGTTTTACTGAATATTTTTAACTTAAAAAATAACAATAGTGATTGGTACAGTTTCTTTTCCCCTGTGAAAGCCATAAGTTAAAGGGTCATGTTTAGCTAGGAAACGCACACAAATAAGTACATTCACCCTTATCCATGGGAGGTATTTTTTAAGACACCAGTGAATGTCTGAAACTGTGGATAGTATTGAACCCTATATATACATTTTTTCTATATGTGAATATTTATGAGAAAGTTTAATTTATAAATTAGGCACAGTAAGAGATTAACAATCACCCATCATAAAATAAAACAATAAAAATATATTGTAATCTAAGGTGAATGTGGTCTCTCAAACTGTTTTGTATTATACTCACCTTTCTCTTTGGTGTGATGATTGTGAGATGATATAATTCTTATGTGATGAGATTAGGTCAGGTGAATGAGGTAGGTGTTGTCATATGGTGTTAGGCTACTATTAATTTCTGGATATCTGACTATACATCTGAAGGAGGATCATCTGCTTAATGTGGCCCTGGATCATTGAGCCATGATAATGTGGCCCTGGATCATTGAGCCATGATAATTCAGGAACAGACCATTTCGATGACTAATGGGCAGAGAATGTATACAAAGGGATAATATGTGACCTAGGTGAGATGGAACAAGATGTCTTAATATTTTATCATACTCCTTAGAATGACACATTATTTAGAACATATGACTGGTATATTTCTGGAATTCCCCATTTAATATTTTTGCACTATGGTTGACCACAAGTAACTGAAATCACAGAAATCAAAACCATGGATATTTTATGAAGAAATATATGTTTGGTCTTCAACACTGTTTTCTGGCATACAACTCATAAAATGTTTAAAATCTCCAAAATGGTGTCTATCTATGCTAATAATTGAATGAGGGCTGGTAGTCCTAGCTTCAGGATAGGAGCTTGTCACAAATAAAAGAACAAGGCATGATTACAGTATTGAGACTTTCAGACCCACCCCTCAACCTCCTAGGAGGTGAGTAGAGCTGAAGTTTAGATCAATTACCAGTGGCCACAGATTTATTCATTCATGCCTATTTAATAAAGCTTTCTTAAGAATCCAGAAGGACTGGGATCAGATACCTTCTAGATAGCTGAATATATGGAAGTGTTTGGAGGCTGAAGTGCCCTGGAAGGGAATGGAAGCCCAATATTGTTTCTCCCATAGCTTGCCATATGCATCTCTTCACCTGTCTCCTTTGTGATATCCTTCATAATAAACTGGTGATTGTGTTTCCTTTAGTCTTTGGGGCACTCTAGCATATTGCTCAAGCCCAAAGAGGGAGTCATGGGAACCCCAACTTGAAACAAGATGGTTAGAAGTTTTAGAGACCCAGATTTGCAACTGGTGTGGTAGGGCAGTCTTGTGAGACTGAGACCTGAGCCTTGGGATCTGACACTATTTCTAGATAGAAAGTGCTGGAATTGAATAGAGGACAACCAGCTGGTATGTGCTACAGAAATGATTGCTCACTTGTTGGTGGAGAAAATCCCCCACACACTTGGTTGCAGAAGTCTTCTGTTTTGATGATTCTTGTGGTATAAGAGCAGAGGGAAATCATGTTGTATATGTTTCTATCTACCCATAGAGCAGATAAAGAGTGACTTGTATACTCTGTTCTAACTGCTCTTAGTTCATTTCTCTAGAAATTATGCTTTCTAAGGTTGACATTATCCACTTACTTGGCTAATGATACAATTTTCTGTCAGCCTTAAATGGTTCTGTTTGGATTGTGACTACTGTATACTGTAGTTCACTTGTAGATATTAAATTGTGACCAAGTCTATTCTTCCTTGCATGTGAGAACTACTAAGGAGGAGAAATAATAATTCTCAGTTCATTAGTTGCCTACCAATAGTATATTTAATAATTTTACTATAGCCTTAGTATATGGTCCCAAAGGAATGCTTTGTCACAAATCATCAAATCATCTGAGTCTTGGTAACAAAGTGTCAGAGCATTATGCATTTGTTTTTTATTTTTTGTGATGGAGTCTCCCGTTGTTGCCCAGGCTGGAGTGCAGTGGTGCGTTCTCGGCTCACTGCCACCTCTGCCTCCAGGGTTCAAAGGATTTTCCTGCCTCAGGCTCCAAAGTAGGTGGTATTACAGGCACACACCATCACAACTGCCTAATTTTCTTCTGTATTTTTAGTAGAGATAGGGTTTCATCATATTGATCAGGCTGATCTTGAACTCCTGACATCATGATCTGCCTGCTTCAGCCTCCCAAAGTGCTGGAATTACAGATGTGAGCCACCACACCCAGCCAGTATTATGCTTTTTTAAAGAAGACCAGAAGCATGCATGAAAGTGTGCATGATTCTTTTGGATTAAGTTGAAATCTTGCTATGTGTCCCAGGATGCTCTCAGATATCTAGTTCCCAAAAGTGATCCTCCTGCCTCACATTCCCAAGTAACTGGGATTACAGTAATGTACCATCATGCCATCTTATGTTTTCAATATTCTGTATATTTTGTATATATTTGTTGATTTAATGTATTTCTTTTTTTTAATAGAGAATGTGAATTCTGTAAAGTCTATATTCAGGTAAGATTTTACAGTTTTTTAAAACGTGTATGTTGACTAAAAACATAAAGAAAAGAAACCACTATCTGTTGAGTATTCTTCTCTGGGCTAGACAATATATTACGTGCTTAACATTTTTCATCTCGTATAGTCGTCACACAGCTTTGCAAAGTATCTGTGCTACTATCACCTACTTTATATTAATCAGGCAACTGTGATTCAGAGAGGTTGATTAATTGGCCTATGATTTCATAGATTAAAGGTAGCCGACCCTTGAGTTCGCCATTGCTCCCAAATCCCTCTTTTGGCACTCAGCATAGTTTGGTTGAGTCTGTGCATCAGTAGAATCAAGGTACAGGTACAGATGAGGTCAATTCACAAAGTCACAATTTGTTGTATGTTAACTTTTTTTTAGAGTTTTCCCTTAGAATACTGGTTAATCCAAGAGTTTGTTCTAATGTGTGTGACAGATGAGCTGGTAACCAGTACCTTGCTTTTACCATGAAAGGTTTTAGAGCAGATCTTACTTAGCTGTGGACACAAGACATAAGTTTTTGTTTCATAAACAAGACCAGGTAAATCCTGGTCTATTTTACCTGTTAATGGAGATTACCTACATATATCTAAATGTTTTTAAGTATTTTTAGAGGTTTTTTGTTTGTTTGTTTGTTCTTCTTCTTCCATGGCTTTAAAAAATCTCTTCCTGATTACTTTCTTCTCTGGTTTCCTTGGTGTTCTTTTCTTCTATTATTTTATTCCTTTCTGCCAGCCCCATTTTTCTATACCTAAAATGAAAAGCACATGGAAATTTAGGGTTGTAAGGACTCTCAGAGAATAATCAAAGTACATTCATATTTCAACCGGTATTTAATACCTGGAAGAATGGTTGTTCGGGTGGAGAATCTGAAACTCAAAGTAACTTATTCAAATATAAGAGGTAGCAGAAGTAACATTTGAACTCATTTTAAAGCCCATTACTCTGGTTTCTGTATCATCATGTAAGTGAGTGTTTGAATAATAGAAACGAAGAGGGAATGGGTCTAATTAAACCAATGGAAAAGGATAAGAATGGAATTAGCTGGAGAACCCAGTAGAAGTAAGTAAGAATGAAATTATCAGGGAAATGCTAAGTTTGAAGAGAAACAATCTCAGGTTGGTAGGAGTAAGCGTTTTACCAAAAGGATCAGAATATTGGCCTTCTGACAAGTTTGATGAAGATAAATTAGAGGAACAAAAACACAAAAGACATTGGGAGTCATCTAGAAAGGCATATTGAAATAGCTTTCAAAGGAAGTCCTGAATAGGTCACTGTATTTTTGTTTGTTTAATTAGAGGAATGAACAAACTTCAAGCGCTCCATTGAAAGATTTTTTTAAAAATTGAGCTACTGGCAAAAAGTCTCTATGAGGTATAGAAATGTCCTATTATGTTCTTTCACCCCAGATTTCACAAAAGTGGCTTAGAGTGCCTTGAGTGCTAGGAGACTGAAGTTTGCTGAATTACATAGATCTGTGGCCCAGGGCAGGTGCCCCCTATCCTTTGCCTCACTTTTTCCAAGTGTCTGATGACCTACTCATGTACATGTAAAGCAGGGGTAAGATTGGCTGGCAAATAAGTCATGGAGCTCCAGTTGGGTTTTTGGTAACATGCTTATGTTGTAAGTGAATGCCTGACTGAATCTCCATTTCGGTGATTTCTAGAAACAGGTAAATGCAGAGCTTCTAGGTTGGTGATTAGAGTTTATCTTTCTGGTAATCTGGTTTGATGAGCTGAATATTTAAAGGTTGGAGACTGCCATGAAGCCCTGCTGAACAAAGATCTGGAAGCGGGTGACACTTTCAGTATATACAGTGTCTCCTAATTCCAGGTTTTTCTCTCTGTATATATATAGTACTTAGAGAAATTCAACCACCAAGACTCAGTTTTTCTAGAAGTCTCTCTCCTTGGGTATGAAGATTTTTAAGGCTTTGCTAGTTTATGTAGACTTGAACAAGGAATGACCAGTATAGAATAAGAAATCTAATTTTATTATTTTTAGTTTCAATTTTTATTGAGAAAAGTACTCCCAATAGCAAATATACATTTGTGTTTTGACATTTGTAGGTTCAGACTCTCAACACTTCAAATATTTCAGGGCATTCCCTGTAGTGTTTTAGGGTGAAGGGAAGCAACAGGGACTTCCTAAGTGGTTTTTATGCTGGGAAACAAAGAATGTCATTTTCCAGTGACACAGATTAGTCTTTGAATCAGAGATAGATAATGGACAAGGGACAAGGAAACTACATCTTTCTACCTCATTTTAGTTATCAAGCTTGTTCCAGTTTAGATAGCAGAAGTTATGTCAACCATTAAGTAGATTTTCAGTTTATCCTTGAGGACAGATGGTTTGTGAGTACAAATTATACTCTGGGTATGCCATTATATTGGCTGTAACTATTTGTTACGGAACCAAAACTGAGACTTCATTGGTTGTTAAATGTTGGGGAGGTGAAGTCTAAAATACGTAATTAAAATATTTTTTAAAACAGAGGCCATATTATAATTATACTGAGAAACATAATATAATATAGAGAAGGACTGATCTTCCCCCAGATTTTGTTTTTGTTTTCATTTTTTAGAGTGGGCACCAAGACAGGAGCTAGCAGTTTCTTTTTAAATACATGAATTTGCTCATTTTTGTTGTATCTTTTTGCTTTAAAATCTTTTCAGCAAACCATCTATGGAAAATTTACAGCCTACAAAAATTGAGGAAGACTTCAGTCTTGCTGACAAGGTAAAATGGTCTCTTGTGAACTAACTGATTTTCTCAGGTGTACTCTAGCTCTGTATAGTGCTTACTTTTCATGTTTAGCAGTGCTATAAGTATCATTATTTTATGTTGGTAATAGAAAGTTGGTCAGATAGAAACATTTTATAAAAATATGACTAGTTGGTTTAAAAATTTATTTTTTACTTTAGTAAATAATAAATGTTTGGTAAATACTTTGAGACGGTGAAGGCCAAAAAACGGAATGGGCTGGAGATTACCTAGTGACAGGTTAGAAGAACATTTTCCACTATAAAGAATATATAAATTTTGGTAAACGTTTATTTACATAAGTATTCTTACTGTGACTTTTAAAATTATTCTGTTGTAACTTAATGAAACTCTTCCTTAAATTTATATTTAATGGATTCAGTTACTTATAGTAATCAAGGAATTTCTCTGATACTGTTAAATTCCTAAACTGTACCACATGGCTTTTTGGCACTTATTATTTTGATATCATGTAGGTTTTAGAAGAGAGCTTTTTCTCAGTTTCTCTTCTTGGTTCTTGGATTACATGGAAATAATATTAGAAGTTGTGAAAATTTATCTGGGCATGGTGGTACATGCCTGTGGTTCCAGCTACCAGGGAGGCTGAAGCAGGAAAATTGCTTGAGTCCAAGGGTTTGAGATCAGTGTGGGCAACATTGCTAGACCTTATCTCTAATTAGAAAAACAATGTAGAAATTTAGAAATGTAAATACTCTTTCTCACAATCTGTATTGCTAAGGGATGCCAGTGTGTTATTCTAAGTTATTTCACGAAAAATATACTTTAAACTCTTCATCTAAATGAAGAATGCTGGTTTTACCCCAAGTAAACAACCAGTTCTGGAAGCAAAGACTCTTAATAAGGATATGGTAAGATTTTAACTTCAGAATTTTTAAATTGTAGTTTTTAAACATATAATTCAAAAATCTTTGATCACATTTGTAAATTTTAAATTTCAGAAGATTTTGTAT